AAACTTAATTCAATGATTGGTATTCCCAACTTCATTTATACTTTTAGAATATGTTCTAAATTTATCAAAATGTTGACTCAAAAAACTTAATTCAATGATTGGTATTCCCAACTTCATTTATACTTTTAGAATATGTTCTAAATTTATCAAAATGTTGACGCAAAAAACCTAGTCAGTCATTGGTATTCCCAATTGTATTTTACTGCTGTGTATATGAAAAAATTCTCTATAAAAATGCTGCGATATTCCATTGACTCTTTGCTTCTAAATACCCAAAACTTATTTAATGTAAAAATGGCATATAACGAAGGATATTTGTACGGAGCAGGTGCTCTTGGACGAGAACCTGATTATACGATTTCACACAAGTTTATTAAAGAATATTTGCAGCTTGACGAATCATTGTTCAGTTATCAAGACAATTGCTACTATCTTTCCAATTATTGTCATCTTGAAAATCGCGGTGGGCATCGATACTTGAGACCATCAAAAAGTTCGAAATTCGTACTGAAACAAGGTTATCATTTATTTTACAACTATGAGTGGACATACAGTTATCACGGAACTGACCCAAAGAATATCAAAAGTATCCTTAAATACGGCTTGAAGAAGCCTGGATCCTTTGCTGGCAGTAATAAAGTCGAATTAGCGCATGGGTCGGTATATGGTTGTGGCATTTACACATCAAAGATCCCATTGTACTCACAATTGTACGCACCGATGATTAAATGGGGAGATAAGTATTTTCAAACGATCTTAATTGTACGACAAAAGCCGAATTCCATTGATGCTCAAGAAGGAGAAGGCTCATATACGAAAAGCTTGCTTGGACACACCGACATCCATAAGTTGTACAAAGGGAAAATTTCATCAGATGAAATGCAATACGTTTGCTTCGATGAGAGTTCGTGTGTTTTACATGCCTTATTAATCAAAGTTCATGATAATTGTGATGAAGAGTATCGAAAGATTATTAACATTTTAAATAGCATCTAGTAAAAGCAATTCGACAATTTCACTGACAAATTTCCAATACCTAACATTAACATATAGTTAGTAAATATTGTCAGTGAAAATTTACAGCAGTAGTCACATTGTTCAGTCGGAATTAATGCTAATAATAAATGTAACACAAAGTAATAATAAATATATAAAATATATCGATATATATATATATCATATGGGCGAATACAAATTTATGAATAAAATTCATAAGCGATTCATAAGCAATTCATTATCGGGCTTACAATCTCTGATCAA